GGCGATTAATCGGCCGAACCGGCGTTTTTTAGTTTTTTTTTTTAGTTTTTTTTTTTTTTTGAAAAGTGTAGAAAGTTCGGTAAGGCATAACTTTTGACTCGATTATCCGTTTTGGTCTTCTAATTTCTCCAAAAATGCTTCTTTTGTTCTTAACTTTAATTTTTTTAATGTATTTAGATGGTTTTAACAATATTCAAAACAATTTTACAACAATAATTTGTAAGAAAAAACTAGAGGAACCTTATGTTTTATTTGTGAATTTCACAATTTTTAATATTTAATTTTAAAAAAAAATAAAAAAGTAAAAAAAAATAAATAAATCGGCGCATAGGCGCCTAACGTTTTTTGCAACCTTGCTTTTTTGGTCTCAATTGTGTATAAATTGACAATTTTTGCAATTTTATATATATATATATATATATATATATATATATATATATATATATATATATATATATATATATATATATATATATATATATATATAAAAGAAGCTAGTGCAATGATTCATAATATATTTTTGGTAAAAAGGGCAATTAAGCCCCTAAATTTTACTCAAAAAGTCGTCAATTAAAATCTTAAACTTTCAAAATGTGCAATTAAATTCATAAACATTTATTTTGAAGCATTGAAACCCAACAATTGGTTGGTGACCTCTAATTGCATGTCATTAGGGCTTCCTTGACCCTCCGACCAATATCCGGTGAGATTATGAGGACAAACACCAACGACCATCAAAAGGTCGCTTTTGAAAAAGGTGACCAAGTTAGACGCACCTTCTCCAGCAACTGGTTACCTTCTCCTTCAATTAGAGAAGGCGACCAGTTGGTCATCGCCTTCTCCAGTCGTCGGAAAAGAAGACCAATTTGGTCGTCTTCTCTAGTCGCTTGAAAAGGCAACCAAGTTGGTCGCCTTTTCCAAACGCAACCGGAGACCATTTGAAGGTCGTCGATCAATGGTGTTTGTCCCAAAATCTCTTTAAAAATTCACTAGATGATGGCTGGAGTTGTCAAATGGTCGTCAGAGTTGGTTGGAGAGTGGCTGAAACAATTGTGACATGCAATTACAAGTCACTAATCGGTTTTTTGGGCTTCAATGATCTAAAATAGCATGCTTATGGGGTTACTTGCAACTTTTGAAAGTTAAAGGGTTTTAATTGACTTTTCCGACTAAAGTTTACGAGTTTATTTGACCCTTTTCTCTATATTTTTTAGATATCTTCATCGTTGATTTCATATGCCTTTTATATGTTACCAGGCTTACCAATAAAGTTATTTTTCAGTCAAAATATTCGTGTCATGGGAAGTGCCACAACAACCTCGTGTAATAGGTCATTGACTATTAGAAAACATTGCTCTCCTCAGGCATGACGTGGAGTTCCATGTAACCGCGTGACATCCTCTAGCCTTGCATGACCCACCCACCCCATGCCCAACCTTCCTTCAGTTCCAAGCATAAGGGCAAGCTCAATTGTAGGAAATTTTTTATGGTTTTTGTTTGGATAACAAAGAAAGAGAAAGAAGAGGGAAGAGGGAAACAAACTAGCAATTTTTTTTTAAAAAAGTAAAAGTAAATGATTAACTCGCCCAGCTGGGCACGTGAATTGCACATTATTTGCACGTCCCCTACTGGGGTGAGATGTGGTGCACACGGGAATCTTCAGTATTAATGTTTCCTTCCTTTCTCTCTCATCTGGGCCGACAAAAAACTTATCTTTGCGGAAGAACAAACCCTCAAAAAACCACCCCTCCCATTTGTTACGAATCAGCCTATTGGTTTTTTACTATTCCAAAAACATCCAAAGCTTGCTATTGGAGTTGCTCTAATAACCTATATTCGTTAAAAAATTAAAGAAGGACAATGAAAAAGAAAAAAAAAATAAAAGGGGTATGTTCATATTGGAAAAGTAGGACATTGAAAAGACTTTTGCAAAGAGTTCTCTTGTACCTACATTTATACGAGAAAAAAAATAAAAGGGGAATGGGCCGGGTTTTAAGAAACTATCATGGAGATTTTGTGGCAGCTGGGGCAGTTGGGAAGATGGGTGCTTGCTTACCTCGGGAGGCGGAGGTGTTGGCGGTTCGGGAAGCGCTGAGCTGACTAAAGGGGCATGACTTTGACGGGGTTGATATTGAAACGAATGCTCAACTAACAACTTATTGTTTAGCTTCACAAAGATAACATCACTCCATATGGTTTGATTCTTAGTGATATTGTTTCTCTTTTAGATTTATTCAATTCTGTGAGTCTTCGTTTTGTTAGGCGGTCGGCTAATATGGTGGCCCATTTGTTAGCTCGAGACGCTAGTGTTTTGTTGGGTAGTCGATTTTGGTTTAATACCGGTCCCTCTTTTATTTCTCAAGTTTTGTGTAACGACATTTTGGTTATATGATATTGTGGTTTATTTATAAAAATAAAATAAAAATAAAAAAAAGTAACGTTTTTTTTAATGTACTTGTTTTCTTTAAATAAGGTAAATAATAATAAAATAAGGTAATTTTTTTAATGTAAATGAATAATTATGGCCTGATTCTTTTCTAAAGAGATGAATTAAGAATAACTACACAAACAAAGTCATCTAATCCTTCAATTAAATGACCATATAGATTCTTCCATGTATCTCAAATGGCATAATTACCCTAATTAGTTTTTGGTAAGCGCACTAATATACCTTTTAATTTTTATTATTTTACGTTGCAATATTGATTAGCTCTTTTTTTTTTTTTTTTTTTTTTTTTTTTTTTTGAGGGGAGCTCTTTTTATATTTGATTACTGCTTATGTGTAGTTGCGGTAAATCGCACTAGTAAATTAAATACTAAACCACACTCGAGTAATGAAATGGTTAATAGTATAATTACACTACTTACCCTCACTTTTTAGTTTTTACTCATTTTTACTTCAATTCATATTCGCATATAATAATTTGGTTGATCTAGTATAGATTTTAAAAAATAAAAAAAAAATGAATGGAAAATTGCATTTTTTGTTCTCCAGTTATACCCGTGATACAGACTTAGTTCTTGGGTTATATGCGTGATCATGTTTAACCCCTAAGTTATACATAGAATGACGATTTTAGTCATTGAATGACCAAATCAGCCATTGTATTAAATGACAACTTGGTGGTAGAAATAATTCCTAAGGGACTAAAATCGTCACTCAATGCATAACTTAGGAGTTATAGTCATGTGTATAACTCATGGATTAAGTTTGTACTATGGTATAACAGAATGACCAAAATTACAATATTCTCAAAAATGAATTACAATTTTTATAATTATCAATATTTTAATTTTAAAAAATGTCACAAGAGTTATATCCATTCGAAATACATTTATCATTTTTGGTTAATTAATGAACAAAATAATGGAGTAGAGTGTAGCGACGAAATATTCTTAACCCGAAAACACGTCTGCGGGGACCCGTGTTTTAGGAACCGAATAAATTGAGATTGCATTTCCAGTCTATTTCGTGATATGATGGATTACTTGCTTCAGGGAAGGGCATCCGAGTGGAAAATTGTCCCTCCTTTTCAACAATTTTATCCACACACTACTCATACTCTATTTTATAAAATAAAATATTAAAAAATCACGTTTCGAAAAGAGTGATTAAGTAAGTGAAGCATGACTATAATATTTAAAGGTCATGAGTTTAATTATTAACAACACATTTTCAGTCGAGTCAATTGCATAAGGTGTAGCGGGATTTACCTAACACACCCTTAGATAACGAATTTTGTTACTTTTGCCCTTCACTTATTCATGTTATAGATTGGACGAAAATACAATTCTTCCTACACTTTGTTACTCCATTACTCTTTGTTAGACGAAGTTCAATAATAAAAAAAACTAATACCGAGTAATAGCAAAATACCCACACCCAAGCCCTAAAAGAAATTAAACGCACAACAAAAAGAGTAGACATCCAACATGGTAATGACGCATAATTTGTGATGTAAACATTTAATACTAGCTAAACTTAATTTCAATTTTAATCTACTGACTGTTACCTCTTCCACTCCAAAATCAATCAAATTTTGGTACCTAAATTTTGAACATTTGCCATTTTAGTCATCTACATATTAAAATTTGTGAACCAAATAAAAAATAAAAAAATCTTTAATTTACTATTGAATTTACTTCAATTCTCCAAATTTTCATTTCCATTCTCTATTTTGAAACTAGAGAAATGAATTTCTCACTTTCTTTCTCCAATTTTTTAAAAATTTCTCCTAATAATAAAGACATTCTTATTTTTTTTGTATGACAGAGAAAACCCGCAATACTATTTCAGAGTGTACACGAGACAAAACATGTTCGGTGTATAATTATATTTAATTCACAAAAGAAATAAATAACACTAAAAAAAATCTTACATAATAGGTTCACTTTTACCCTATTAAAAGAGTGTTGACAAGAATCAAACTCTGACCTCGTTAATTTGTTGAGACCCACCCTCATCGTCAAGTAGTCAATATAATATGGAATTGTCCGCATGAGCAGCTCAACTGGTCGGGTAAAGTTTGGAAAGTATAATATGGAATTAAGGAAGAGACTTGGAAAGCTAACAATACTTTGAGGATGGCATCAAGGAAACAGTGAATTAAACCACAATCAAGAATCAATCCACTACTATACGTAGTCCTTAGCTTCAATTGCAACCAACACCTACTTTTACTATATCCTCCTTCTCCTCATCCTCCTCTATATATAGTCTGTCGTCTAGCTTCGATCGCCACCGCTCTGTAAACTTTACTTCATCACTACGTACCTCATCATCCTCATCCTCATCCTCATCCATGCACTGTACTCTCACCTCCCTTTTCCTCCCATCTCCCTCTATAAATACCCCTCCAAACCTAACAAAACACTGAAGAAATTAAATACTTTCATATGTAAATCTGCTGATTTCATTGCAGATTTGAAGGAGAAGATCGATCAGATAGAAGATCCGAAGGAGAAGAAGACGACCGGAATTCCATTGAAAAAAATAAAAAATGCGGCCAGCACGCAACGAGACTTCGGCGGTGGGCCCTGCGGCCGGGATGCATCGCTGGAATTCGCCGATTCCTTACCTGTTCGGCGGCCTGGCTGTGATGATGGGACTCATAACCCTAGCATTGCTGATTCTGGCTTGTTCTTGTTGCGGGGAATCTTCTAGAGAAGGCGATGGGAGTAACCGTGGCCATCGCGATCAGAAGCCGGCGGCCTCGCCGGCGAGCGTGATGCAGCTGGAAATGGAGCCTAAGTTCGTGGTTATCATGGCCGGAGATCATAACCCCACCTGCCTCGCTAAGCCTTCTGCTCGCCGCAGGGAGGAGGTTTGAACTTTGATGGATCGTTTAATTAAATTCCTAATTAGTCCATAATTGTTTTAAAAAAAAAAAAAAAATCGGTGTAATTTAGGCCTTTATTATATTGTTTTATTTTTTTAAAAGCGAAAATATGTAATTCACTTGTATATATAAGAATGAAGAAATTTTGATATATTTAAAATTTAATGTTTAATTTGTTAAGTATATATATATATATATATATATATATATATATATATATATATATATATATACATCATATGATATCTCTCTTATTTTACGATCATGTTTACTATTATTCGATAAATCAAATTTGTATTCTTTATTATTTTTAATAACTTTTTGTATTTATTATTTAATAGTATTTTTAATGCAGTTTGTAATATATAAATTTTATACATTAATATTAAATTTAATATTATTAAATAATTCCAGTCAAGAATTATTAATCAATTCAATTATTCAAACATATATAATGAGATGAAGGTAGTATATTTTTTTGGTGCATGCCTTGATTGATAATTTTTTTTTTTTTTTAAAAAAAAGACTAAAAAATATAAGGTTTGTATAAATTTTTTATTTTTCAACAACTTTGAGGATTTAAAAAATGTTTATTGTTATGTTTTTTCGATTTTATTGTTAGTCGAAAGTGGTTGACACACTAATCACCAACAAAGGTGGTCGAATAATTTAAAATAAATGACTAGTCTCGTCAAGACAATATTAGGTTGCGAATAATTTCAATCATAAGTTATCAAAAATATATAAAAAGAAGAAAAAAAACTTAAGTATGTTTGTAAAAATAAAATAAAATAATCAAATAGTAACCATGAAACATACAAAATACATTTGTTTGGGGGGGGGGGGGGGGGGGGGGGGGCAGATAACAAAAACAACTTTTGGTGGGTGGTAACGTCATCTCCAATAGAAGTTGTTGGTGTGGTTTTTGAGAAATAAAGACTTATATGAAGAAAAGAGGGACATGAAATATAAGCTTTTGAGTCTCTCTGTAACACTTTGCTTTTTTTTTTTTTTTTTTTTTTTTGAGCCTTGGACAAAGAGAAACAACATAGGAAATGTGCAATTAGGCACGTTTCGCGCACATACAGGCCCAGCCGGGCACGTGAAGTGCACGCGCCGTTGCTTTTTGTCTTTCTTTCTTTTTTTTTTCTTTTTTTTTTCTTTTTTTTTTTTGCGTCAGATTTGCTTTTCAATTCCCTTTTTTTTCTCATCCTTTTTCTTCTTCTCTCTCCCTCATGGTACGGTGATTTTTAAGATCATGTTTACTATTATTAATTAAATCAAACAAGTATATTCTTTACTATTTTTTAATAATTTTTTTTTTTGTATTTAATGTAGTTTCTAAATATATAAATTTTATATACTAATACTAAATTTAATATTATAAAAGTTAATTTGTAAATAATTCCACTCATGAATTGTTAATCAATTCAAACATACATAATGAGATGAAGGTAGTATATTTTTTTGTTGGTGCATGCCTTGATTGATAATAAAAAAAAAATGATTAAAAAAATAAGGTTTCTGGTAAAAAAATTATTTTTCAACAACTTTGAGGATTCAAAAAAATGTTTATTGTTGTTTTTTTTTTTTTAATTATTGTTAGTCGAAAGTGGTTGACAGTCAGAAACGGTGTAAAGTTAGGTGTTAGAGATGATGACGAAAATTATTACGGGTGCTATAAACACAATACCAAGATTAAGGCCTTCAGGTCACAATCTCGCATTGGGAACTCGAGCTCAAGCTCGAACTCAAAATCGAGCTCGACCAGCTCGAAAAATTGTCAAGCCAAGCTCGAGCATCATTTTTCAAGCTCAAGCCCAACCATTCTTATCGAACTTGGCTCGGCTCGTCTGCACCCTTAGTTGACACACTAACCACCAACAAAAGTGGTCAGATAATTAAAAATAAATGATTAGACTCGCCAAGACAACATTAGGTTACGAATAATTTTCAATCATCAAGTCATCAAAAATGTATAAAAAGAATAAAAAATTAAGTATGTTTGTCAAAAAAAATAGTAACTATGACATACACAATACATTTTTGGGGGTAGATTAGTAGATAACAAAAACAACTTTTGGTGGGTGGTAAGGCCACCCCCAATAGAAGCTTTTGGTGTGATTTTTTAGGAATGAAGGCTTATGTGAAGGAGAGAAAGAGAGACAGACGAGAGAAGCTTGTAGGTCTCTCTGCAACACTTTGATTTTTTTGTGGGTCTTGGACAAAGAGAAACGACAGAGCTGAGAAAATGCACAATTAGGCGCGTTTCGCGCACATACAGCGCCTAGTCAGGCACGTGTAGTGCACGCGCCGACGCGTTAACAAGGTTTTTTACTTTTTTTCATTTTTTCGTCACATTTGCTTTTTTTTTTTTTTTTTTTCCCCCTCTTTTTTCTTCTTCTCTCTCCCTCCCCTCTCTCATGGTACGTTGATTTTTGTTGTTGATTTGTTAGGACCTAAAAGAAAAGAAAAAAAAAAACATATCGATAATTAGTGAATTTTCAATGACTATTTTATCAATATTTGCAGTGCATATCGATAAACATATTTAATTTAAATTTAGTAAATTATTTATTCAATCGATCATTAGTTTTTAAATAATTGTGAAATTTAAGCATATTAAAATATTTAGGGATAAGGGTCAAATAAGCTCTTTTATTATAGGCCAAAGTGTAATTAACCTATAAATTAAGAAAAATTTCAATTAGACACTTTAACTTCTTATTTTTCTACAATTAAATTAATTAACATGTTACATCTAGGTAACGGGTAATTTTTTTAATTAAAAAATTTAATAAATTATATTTTTATTTCTGATAAAGTAATTAATTTAAAAAAAAAAAAAAAAAAAAAAAAAAAAAACTCTTTGGTGACGGCTTTTCCGTCCAACTAAATAAAGAAGCCAGTCTTGACTTTTTCATCTAGTTGGATGGAGAAGCAGGCCATGACTTCTCCGTCGAACTGGATGGAGGCCTACCTAGCTTCTCCGTCCAAGTTGGACATATCTGTTGAGGAGAAGCCGGTAATCTTTTTTTTTTTTTTTGTTTAATTTGTAAATTATTTTTTAAAAGTTCAATTTTACATGCTATTTCTTTGAGTTTACATGCAAAATGAATTAATTGCACAAATTTAAGAAGCTATTGACTAAATTACATAAAAATGAAGAGATGAAGTGTTTAACTGAAGCTTTTCTTACTTTAAGGGACTAATTACACTTTAACTTATAATTGAAGTCCTATTTAATTGGACCCTTATCCCAAGTATTTATATTCAATAATATTTAAATTTAATATATTAAATGTTCATAAGTCGCATGTAATAACATATGGCGATTATAATTATATTTCCCTTTCAATCGATAGCCAAGGTAGAATAATACGCTTCGTGAGATTTAGGTGATATTATAGTCACTATAATCATATATCGCGGGAATATATTTCTTGAAGAATCATGGAAACAACATGCTATAGCTTTGACCTTTTTTACCAGTTTTTTTTTTTTTTTGTTTGTTTGTTTGATTTATGGAAAATTCTGTAATTATTACATAAATGTGTATTTTGAGTGAAGTTCACTAATTTCATTGTTATTAAAGGTCCGTTTGAAAATTCAAAAAATATTTTTCGAAATTATTTTTAAAAAATTAATTTAATTTTTTAATGTTTGGTTGAAGTTTATAAAACTATCTTTTCTATTTAACTGAAAAGTTAAAACATAAATATATTTGATTTATTTTCTTAAAAATAAACATATTATTTTCTACACATATTTTAACAGGCCTACCCAAAACCGGTCAAAGTACCTATGAGGTCCCTGTACTATAGTATTTTGTTCAATTTAGTCCTTCTACTTTAATTTTGTTCATATTAGTCCCTATACTTTAAAAATTGAAACAATTAAGGACAATAGTTGATGTGAGCAAATATTTATGTATTTATTTTGGACATATTAATGTAATATATTGGTGGTAAAAGTAATTAATTTTAAATATTTATAAAATAATATATGAGTTGGCATGTAAGTATGATGATGTGGCAGTGATAATGTCTGCGCCACATAAGCTATTGTCCTCAATTCTTTCACTTTTTAAAGTACAGAGACTAAATTGAACAAAATTAAGATAGAAGAACTAAATTGAACAAAACACTATAGTATAAGGACCTAATAGATACTTTGTCCCCCAAAACCCGACCTTATTACATTTTTAACAAGCTGGAAACTACCCTTTATGAATTGGGCCTAAAGTGGTTTGACCACATGTGATCCAAAACCCTACAACCCAATTAATTGCCTGACCCAATTCAAATGGCCCAAAAGTGCAAATGCTAGGTGGCCCATAACTCAAAGTATGCCCAAGAATACAAAGAGAATTAGCCCATTACTCTTAAGTGACTCCAAAAAAAAAAAAAAAAAATCCTGAAAAAAATTTAACTGATATGAATGCTCTAAGCTAACGCTGATCAACAATTCAAGTAGTATAATAATTTAAAGAAAAAAAAAAAGTCACGTCATATTACAACAATCTACAGTTAATCACTGCTTAATCTCTGCACTGACAGGTACTAAATTTACACTAATCATCACCACTTAATCTCACATCCATTCATTTCCTCTCTAATCTCATCATGAAGAAATCCCAATACCCACTTCTTCTGCTCATCTTCTCTCTTTTCTCTGTCATAATCACTTCCTCATCGACTCAATTCAAACCCCAAATCTCCACAAACGCCTACCAGAATCGTCTTCACAATGCCTGCAATTACGCTTCCAAGACTGGCGAGGCGCAACTTCGGGGGTTCCGTCTCCGACGGCTGCTACCGCCAGCGCCACCGCCGTTGGTGGTGGAGATTGATCGGAGATATGGGGTGGATAAAAGAGTAGTCCGTACTGGCCCTAACCCTCTCCACCACCGATAGAGAAGGTGTCGAATTTCGCAGAATGCAGATACATAGTATATTGTAACAAAAATACTAGATGTAATTCCAAATTCATACTCTCAAATTATACTCTCATTTGTGTTCAAATTTGATTACAGAAAAAAAAAAAAAAAAAAAAAAAAGAATGGATAAACATGATCCCCTAGCAATATAATCAAGGCATGTCATGTCATAGGGAGTGCAAAATGATAGTATAATTTGGGAGTACATGTAGAATTACCCATATTGTAAATTTGTAATAAATGATAAAGTAAGCACATTGAGTTATTGAATCAATTGTCTTGACAAATGGGTCCGTTTTTGTATAGTAGTTAGCTTGGTAGCCATAATATATAAGTTCAATTTGGTGTTTTCGGTTTGAGCCTACAAATTTTGTTATAATTAGCAATCGTCCAATAACTTGTTGGCACCCAAGACGAAAATTTTCCTATCTAGAGGCCAACATGAGTTTTCTTTTTAAGTAGAACCACACTCATTATACTAAAAAAGAGACAAACCCTATAAATTTGAGTGGCATGATACACTTGGGATTGGCGGAATTTAATCTTTTCAACCATGACATATATATAGAGTAGTCAAAATGGGTTTTGTCCATTAGCCCGCTCCTCCTCCTACTTAGATACCCTGTAAATTTGAGTGGCATGATACACTTGGGATTGGCGGAATTCAATCTTTTCGACCATGACATATATATAGAGTCATCAAAACGGATTTTGTTCATCAGCCCACTCCTCCTCCTACTTAGATAGGGGTGGAACAGGTATGGATTTTGTCCATCAGCCCGCTCCTCCTCCTACTTAGATAGGGGTGGGTTTAAAAATAGCGTGTCAAAGAGCGGGCTAGTCTGTCCTATCCCGCTAGTCTGTTTTGACAGCTCTACATGAAAAGTAGATTGTAGATATGAAGTAGGGGAATTGAAAACAGAAATCAAGATTTTCCATCTAGGCAGATCAGAAGCATAATCTATCGTAGGCAGATCGAGCATGCATGCAAAACATACACTCAGATCAATTCCTTATTCACGTACGCTAGCTAGCTACCAGCGATCAGAAGGCGGCGGGGTAAGCGCCGCCGCGCCATTGATAATAATCTGCGTGGTCCCAGTAGTGATGAGCATTTGACGAAGCTCGGAAGCTTCCTCCTTGAGCTGAACGTTCTCCTGAACCACCTGCTCGTGGCTCTCGGCCACATGGCTCAGCCTCCCCAGCAGCTGCTGGTTCTCGTTCCGCAGCCAATTCACCTGCGACCACAGCTCGTCCAGGTGCTTCTGCTTCCGCATGCGCGACCGCCGCGCCGATTCCCGGTTCGAGATCATTCTCCTCTGCCGCCTCATCACTTGCTGCTGCTCCTCCGCCTCGTCTGAGGTTGACGCGCCCCCGCCGCTGAAACACGCAGATGGGGGGTTGAAGTCCTGGAGTTGAGCCGCCATCTGGTGGAGATAATGATGGTGCAGAGGGTGGTTGTTGGTTGATGATGATGATGAGGCGAAATGATGGGCGGCCGGAGGATAATAATAGTATTGGTGATTTGGATTTGAAGGGAGAAGGTGATGATGATGAGTAGTGTAGAATTGTGTGTTCTCAATCTCATCGCTGGGTTGCATGGCGGAATAGTGGTTGCTTGCTTGCAGGGTCTGATCTGCAGAAACTAACACAGACCGAGTCTGAATGTAATGAAGGATGGCGAATGGAGACTTGAAGTTGAGAAGTCCTTTTATAGCTTGGTGAAAAGGTGGTAGAGGTCCAACATGAGTTAATTAATAATAGCTTTATTTGTTTTGTTAGCTGCCGTGGCAGAGTGTAGGATTTAATTCCTTTCATTTACAGATTGAAAAGTCCGTAACTGTTATTTAAAAGTGTATTTTGGATAATTTTAATGGGCAAATTAAGAATCACAAGGAGGTAGGTTATAGTTTGATAAAAAGTAGTAGTAATCCAACATGAGTTAATAGCTCTGTTTTGCTAGGCAATGGTAGTGTAGTTAGGATTTAATTATTTAGATTATTTACGAGAAAGTGCGTTGCTGCTATTTGAAAGTGTACTCTGATTGATGTTAGCTGGCAAAGTGTTATTGATCGAATTCTCAAACCAAAGTGGTTAACTCGCACCCACACCGCCAAAGGAAGAGTCAACCTTTCTCGCACACCTAAATCTGAGTGTATAACGTTTTACCAAGTAAAATTAAACCCAACAAAAGAACACATGCTTTAATTTTACGGACTAACTCACCCAATTAATTAACCTTGTATATTCATAAAAAGAATGTACAGAGGATCCTCACAATAATTTAAAAACCAAGAGTGTTATGTTACATCCAAATTAAAACACTGACCAACAACGTAACTAACACGTGTAGCCTTTGCTCTCTACACAACAATCTGGCTACAAACATAGGAAGCTATTTATAATGCATCAATGCGGTTACAAGCCAACTTCTTCCTAGCCACTCCCTTAAATCTAGGGAAATTGGTCAAATTAAATCACCAACAAACTTGAGTCCTTTTATAGCTTGGTGAAAAGGTAGTAGTGGTTCAACACGAGTTAATAGTTCCATTTCGCGTGCTTGTGGTGGTAGAGTGTAGGGTTTAGTTCAGTCTACACTTGTTATTTGAAAGTGTATTTTGGGTTACTCTAGTTGGCAAAGAATCAAAAGGAGGTAGGTTATAGCTTGGAAAAAAGGTAGTATTGGTCTAACAAGATTTAATAGCTCTGTTTTGTTAGTAGTAGTAGAGTGTAGGGTTTAATTCCTTTGATTTACGGGAAATTATATTCCGCAGATGTTAGTTGAAAGTGAGCTTTGAATGACTTTAGCCTTGCCATCAAAGAACCACAAGAAGGTGGGTTATAGCTTAGTATACGTAAAAGATAGCACTGGTCCAACAAGAGTTAATAGCTTCGTTTCGCTAGCGATTTGAGAGTGTATGGTTTAACTCTGATTCATGACCTTACATGAAAGTCAACATCTACTACTCGAAAGTGCATTCTGGGTAACCCTAGCCGGTAAAGGATCACAACGAGGTAAATCGATCAGTCTAGTTTGTTCATTGCTAACCGACTTAAATTAAACCAAAGAGATCCATAGACAATCCTCATCGAACTTGAGAACTTTGTGGTGACCAAGCTGACTGCCCCCGGTAGGGTTTTAACTCCTACTGTGATATGAGATTGGCCATGTTAATTAGGAACACTAGCATACAAACAGGAGCAACATGTTTGGCATGCAATTTATCAACTTTAGAGAAGGGCAAGTGAGAATTATATTGTTGGAGTTGGGGTTTCCATCTATCCTTTTTAAAAGGGAGCAGGCCCCCCATATTATCAACTTGGAGAAAGTTGAAGAACAGTATAGTTCCTTAAAGATGAGACACCAGACTGAAGTTGAACATGTGCATGCACTCATACACATAATGGCAAAGTAAATGTTCATCAGATCAGAGGTCCATGTTCATTTAATTTGCATCCACCATGAAATGCAAACACCCAATTCAAAGATTATCTGCACAAATCCCATGTTTCTTTTGCTTAACCTAGTACTAAACCTTAATTAAATCCTAAACCAGAATAGTGTTCAGATATGGATGGTGGAAGGATTGAAATTTGAAGAGGTGGTAGCTTGTGTGTACTCTGGAATTGAGACTTCCACTACCAAAAAGAAAATGCATATATGATGCATCCTGAACCAGAAGATAGAACTCCCATGAAGCCCAAAATGCCCTCCCCCTTCTTCATTGTGGGTTAGGTTGAGTGGACTGGATAGTCAACAATATTATTAGACATGTTTTGACTCTTGTTTCTTTTCTTGTCTTCAACAATCCCCCACCCCCCTTTCCTGCTAAAGGCATATATAATATGAGTGATTTATGCGGTGAATACACTACACATGCATCATTCTTCACTGTACTTGTATTCTTATGCAGGCCATTTAGTTGCTGCCTGGCCGGCAAATTGGTCAAGCTCGACTTGATAACCACAAGGTTACAAATTTGATTTCCAACAGAAACGATCTAGTACCTTTCTTGATTTGAATTGGTCAGCTATGAAAAACTTATGATGGTTTACCTCTTTGTGGTCCGTACACGCCCTCAGGACTCGGGTAATGGTTACAGGTTTTTCTCGTCACTAAAAAAATAGAAAGTAGTACTTGGAAATAGGGGTGTCAATGCGGGCCGGCCCACCCCATTAGACCCGCCCCATGCAGGCTTACTTCATAAATAAAAAAAAATTATTATTTTATTATATTATATTCAAATAATTTAACCTAAATAATATTAAATTTTTTCGTGTTTAAAATTAAATTTTTTACATTTTTTTAAATTTTAATGTTTTATATATATATATATATATATATATATAATTTTTTTTTTTTTAATTTACGAAAGCCCGTGGGCCAACTCGCGGCCCGCACGGGTTAGCACGCGTATAGTAGCCCACATTTTCGTGGGCCAAAAATCTAGGCCCTAAACTGCCCCACCACGGGGTGGTTTAGGGCTAGTCTGCGGGTTTCGACCCATCTTGACACCCCTACTTGAAAATGTTCCTCTAGACCGATCGATAAGGTTTATCCCGTGTAAGTACAATTTGTGTGAGATTTGAACTTGTCAATTGAGACTTGAGAGTCTGAAGTTCCTCATGCATGCTCACCTCCTAGTTAAATTACTCATGACATTTCGTTTAGTCCAACTTTGATATAAAATTGAATGGTGTGTTTTATTTCAACTAAAAATTTAATTTTATGATGTTGATCCTCGTTCGCGGTTTTATTGTTGAGCCCGGATATTGGTAGGAAATGTTGGCTGTTTCTATTCTTTCAATAAACAAACATCAAATTCTGAATTAGGTGCCCTATGACATTGTCCTTTTGAAAAAAAAAAAAAAAAAAAAAAAAAAAAAGAGCAAGCTGAGGGTGGATATATAGGACAGTGTCCTTAAAAATGTGAAAGAACAGGATAAGGTATATCTAGATTTTGAATGATCATCATCTGTTTGGTTTTACCAAATATACCCCTGAAAGTGCTGGTCTGGCTCATAAGAATTATCATGGAAATTCAGAACACAGTATCTAGGAATTGAAGGGAATCTAACACAACAGCAGTGCCCTAGACATGAGGCCAGTCCCTTGCACTGAGGGGTACTTGATTTAATATTAACTTGACTGTTTTGATATGAAAGAAAAGCTCTTTTGGTGTTGTTGAAAGGACAGGCGTCCCTTTGTTTAAGGACTAATCCTATCCCATCAAGTCACCAATATTAGTCATATATTCGTAAGATAAAATTAATACAATTGAAATTTGATCAGATTTTCCTTTTTTTTTTAAAAAAAAAATAAATAAAATTGATCAGATTCTATTTGAGGTAATATCGTTTGAAAGTATTATAAGAGTTCAAGAAATGCGGGTATAAGATAAGATCTTTGCGGTGGACCCCATGCTCCTATCTTACACACACTTGTGGGTGGCGTGTGCACTGCCTCTGCCAATTGCTACCAGTCAGCTCAACCAAAGGCCCCAACAAATATATTGTCAAGATTTTTGCCCTAAAGAACAGCACTTGCAGTTTTCACAGTATATACTCTCATCGTATAATTTTTCTAATCGACATATCTTTTAGTTGAGATAAAGTACATTTTTTCAAATTTGATACCAACTAACTGAACAAGAATGTGAAACTTTTCCTTTAGAGTTGGGGTTCAGCCTTTGGAAGAAGAATGTGAAACTTTTAATTCGAAACACATTTTTCAATTTCGAGAACACGGTGTAGCCCAATTGTTATACCATGAAGCAGGATTCATATTGCATAGTGAACTCTAATACAAAAATTTTGTATCTTCAATTAACAGATTCTGTACCTACGGTTAATAGTTTCTGTATATGTAAAGAAATAACTTGATAATTGCTGACACATAATATGCTAGCTACAGGTACAGAAACTATCAACTGCAGATACATAATGTGTCAATTATAGATACAAAATCTGACTTGATAATTGCTGACACATAATATGATAGTTACAAGTACAGAAACTATCAACTGCAGGTATAGAATGTATCAACTATAGATAAGGTTATTTTTGGACCAGGGTCTATAATGCAGCAATGCAAAGTAGACCCTGGTCCATGGTATAATTTGCCCAGTGTGGCCATGGCTAGGATGGTAGGATGTGGCTCACAAATTTGTGGATTTGTCAAATGTATGACCCAGTTGTGCACCCCACTCAAGTGACCTATGCAAATTTCTTTTTCTTCTTTCATCATGGGTAGTGAAGGCACATCATTTCCATTCAACAATCATGTGCCTCTCTGCCCAATCAATCTTTTGTCCCAATTGGTTGGGAGCCTCCAGCTAATAATGGATTTGCTCCATTCTCGTATACTCCCAATTTCCACAGTACTTGGCATCATTTTAATTCAATGTTTGATTGATTCATTTGAATCCTTAGCAGCATGATATATTCTTTATATACACAAACATGTTAAGATCCCACTCCACTAACAATATAGCTAATAAGGTTGTTTAATTTGGCCACCCTGAAAAGAGTGGTAATTGAGTGGTGGAATACGATTCTCGTATCAAGAGCGGGGTTTACTCAGTGTGCACAATCAAATAATAATTACGTGTTTCTCTCGTCATTCAAAAAATAAAGTTATTTGAAATAAAATGTTGCTAACTAAGCAACTTGTGACAGCTGTTAAGCAAACTTCTAATGTAACTATATGTCAACTATACAAGTGCAACTTGAACCGAGTAATGGATTAATCTCATAGTAGTGAGAATATTGGATGTAATACGCTAAAATAAATAAAAAGTTGCCCATCTAGGGTTCCAATAGTAACTGAACTTCATATTAGTCTAAACTGAAACTCGATATTGAGAATCTCTTATTAGAGTATCAAAAACGCTAATAGCTTCTAAAATTTCAACATCTCTACAAAACTTTATCACCTTAGACTGTAGTTGACAACATTTGATGGCATCTCAACCTGGTTTTAGCTATGCCAAGGGTGTTGAGACATTATGTTAAGTTTTTGGCAGCTTGCATTTGACACATACAAGGAGCAATCATGCTACTAATCCAAGGTAAGGGAAAACCTTGATGCATCAGCAAAACTAAAGTTGCCAGCTTGTGCCTTAATTTTACTTGAGAAAAGATTTTGACAAAACATTGTTGTTCCCAAAAGGTTGAATCCCCAATCCCAAGGGTCCCTCATATCCCGGCCCGACAGAGCATCTGGGATGATGTAAATCATGATAACTCAGTTGAACACAGAGGCTAGACATTTGCTTACTGCCGCTGGTGAGATTCGATCTTGGGTCATTGTTCCTAAACTTCACCCATGTGACCAACTGAGTTGCCCATGCGGGCAGGTTTTGACAAAGCATCGCCCTCTTAGGTGGGAGAACCAATGCCTAATGTCCATAAGGAGCCCACCACATTAGGTGTGACTTCCACACTGCAATTGTTAGATCTTGATCATGCATCCTCACCTAAAATCTATTACTTGAGTACCAACTAAGCTGCTTGTGCGGGCAACACTCTAACCAAGTGAGCTATTGCAGCTTGTTGACATAACTCTCTTAATCATTTTGCAGCTTTGTGGTTCATAGTCTACTGGAAGCTATACTGCCAGCAGCATTAAACTAGAGGTGATATGTACCATGGTCTGCAGACATTTAATCTTGTTTACTTGCATGACTTGTTTCTTGGTGCCCTTCTCATCTCATCAATTATGATTATTTTGTCAATTCTTGGTTGACAGGATGAGCATAAAATCATCCAAGATATTACAATAATGATGGTATTGTATCTTCCCAAATTTCTTGTTTTGTCTCGGTCCAAAATTTGTTTTTAAAAAAAAAAAATTAAAAATCCTAACAAAGTTTCTTCATAGAGGGTCAGGTTCCTGTGCGGACAGTGCTTCCTGTGCGATCGTGCAGTCATGCACCATTAGGTACTCAGAAATACACCACAAAGTGTTCGAAAATGCACCATTATGGGGTGGTGCATTTCATTCTGGTGCATTTATGCTTACCTAATGGTGCATCTGCACCGACCGTACGAGAAGCCTTGTCCTCATTTGAACCAGTATCTCTTCATTGATATAGTTTAAATTAAGACTGATGTTTCCCTTCCTATCCCATTCTTCTTTTGCTGTGTATTACTTTTGTCTGTCTGAGGTTTGGTGAATGGGTAAGAAAGGATGGACTGTTACTTTTCACGTTGTGATGATTCAAACCTGTAATTTAGTAGTTATATAATGGTGTGTATGAGTTTCACTTTCTTTGTGTTTATCAGATTGCATCATCTACTCACTGCATATTCATTCATTCAATTTCTGAATGATTGAAGCAAACAGTGTGTAGTTAAATAATATCATGGTTTTTGTGGTAGATGAGATGGCGTGAGTCTTTTTCAGTTTAACCAAATATCTCAGGTCCTGAGACCTGGGGATGCAGCAAAGTGCTTTTGACACCCCCTTTGAGGTTTTACTCAGCACGAATAAGGTTAGTCTTAGCGGGTGTACTGTGATACCCTTTGAGGTCTTACTCAGCATGAACAATATTAATCTTAGTGTGTGACATCCTTTGAGGTCATACTCATACTCAACACAAATGAGATTAGTTAGAAAATTTGTGGTCTGAAAAAAGTGTAAAATGTTGCAACTTGCAAGAGCAAATAGTATAATAAGGTATGATAGAGGATTTGGTCTAGTTCTATAGGCACTAAAAGCTAGGCTCACACCCTTATCACCATTGTCTGAAAATGGCATCTTTTTGGCTTATGCTCTTTTTTTATTTATTTATTTTTTTAAGGTTGTATTTGTTCAGCAAGATATAATCATGGGGTTCATAGATCACAGATAAATTGTTCATATCAGCAACTTGGACTAGGGAATTCATAATTCCCTAGCCCATTGCAGTATTGCACCAGGCCAACCTCTTGACCCAATAGGCCCATGGTTACATGGGATCTGTGGCTAAAATGGCCCAGATTGAATGATCTCATATTCAACTTATCTCTACTGGTAAAAAATAATCTTTAAAAAAAAAAAAAAACAATTCTTGAGGTAAAGAATCCACTTTCCAAAAAGACAAGCAATCACAAGAGTGTCAAACTAACAAAGAATTACCCACACTCACACATAACTCTGGCCCACTAATTTTTGAGACATAGCTCAACTAGTCAATCAATTTTAAAAGATTGAGAACTCTGCTTCACCAATCTGTCATAGGTGCAAGATTCGATTCCTAAAAGTCCTAAATAGTAAGAGTAGTGCCCCCCAAAGCAATGGTGCCATAAATGTATCTTGGAAGAAACCACCACATGGATGGCTCAGAGTTAACGTGGATGCAGCTAATGATAAGCTTACTAGGGCTACAGGCAAGGGTTTTGTTCTGAGAGACTCGGAGGGGGCCTTTGTTGCGGCTAAGGAGGAGAAATGGGATGGATTATACCACCCAAAGCTAGCTGAAGCAATAAGTGTAAGAGAGGCTCTGAAGTGGTTGAAGAAGAAGGGAGCATACTCCATCCAAGTAGAAACCGATGCCTTGATTGTAATTCAAGGACTAAAAAATCTTAGTTGTAACTCTTCTTTTGATTAAGTCCTAGAAGATATTAGGAAATTAGCTAAAGATTTCTCGTGTATTAGCTTTGCATTTGTCAAATGATCTGCGAACATGACAGCTCACCTGATTGCGCGGGAAGCAGTGTTCTCTACCGATCGAAGGGAGTGAATTTCTAACCCTCCTACGTTTCTTTCTGATGTTATTTCCTTGGAAGCCTATTAATGAATGGGCTGTTTGTGTTCAACAAAATAAAAATAAAAAAGTCCTAACTAGTCGTCCAATCAAGAGGGGTCTCATAATTTGAGAACCAATCAATCATAACCACGTCACAAGATTCAATTTCCTAAAAGTCCTAACTAGTTGTCCAATCAAGAGGGTCTCATAATTTGAGAATCAATCAATCATAACATATTAACATGTACCGTCCCCTCAAGTTTCTAAGTTAACAAGGGGAAATAAAAAGGAAATGGAGATGATACAAAGTATGCATGCACTATTGCACTGCTAGGCACATGAATATACATTATTATACCGACACATCTTAGAGAACATTTGGTAAGAACATTAAAGAGAAATATACACTAGATGATTGACAAGGAAGACCAAGTCTTTTTCTGCTAACTTTCAAGTTTCAAAGCAATAGTAATTCTCTAGAACTTACACATGTAATGTAAAAGTAAAAGATGCATGATTGCACAACTGTAAGTGGAATCGATGGCAGTTTTAAGGTAAAATTGTAAAACATGGAGCCATAGAGGAATGAAAGCAAAAAGGCAGACATCAATTTCTGCAATTCATACAGTACCATTAACATTTCAATGATCCTAACATGCCACAACTTTTTTGGAATGAGGTTCACAAAACTGTTTAATCTCTCATCTTAACTTACCCACATGAATCATTACATGTCACATAAAGTAAAAAGTGGCAAAATAATCAACATCTTTAGCAAAACAAGGTATTCACAGTTCAGATATAAGATATTCTCTTCTACACAAAGAAAACATATCTCTCAAGGTAAAAATTCAAAATTGTATCTAACCTCAAAGTCATTGAGGGGATTTGTGTGCCTTTGGTGTTTCTTCTTCTCATATTCAGCATCATCTGTGGGCAACTCATGGCGGCAAACAGGACACGTATTGCGAATGGTTAGCCATGGCACAATGCAATCGCCATGGTAATGGTGGGAGCATGGCAGCCTATTGACCATCTCTCCAACCAAGATATCATCTTTACAAACAGCACATGAAACCTTGCTTTCATCGTCCCCAAGGATCACAGAGGGGAGATTATCAACTATGTGTTTGGCAGCAGGAGGGGTGCCCTTCAAGCCTCCATCTGAGAATTGTCCAAATAGGGGATCATGATCTGCTGGATAAATGTAATCATCATGAATGTTTAAGTATGAAACTTCATCATCAATAACATCGCCCTCCAATTCCAGGTGTCTTTCCAGATTATTCACTGCCAACAGAACTTCCCACTCCAGATTCCGCAGTTCCTCCTCTTCTTCTCCATTGTCTGAAATGGGATTCTCTCCTTCGGAAGAGGTTATCCCGGAGGAAACTGAAATCTCTTCGATTCGATCGATCAATGAACTCAAATTTTCCCTCTCGTCGTCCCGTTCGTTCACTTCTTCCCACTCAAATTCTTCGTCTTGATCGTTAAACCGGAGACACTCCCGCAAGCTACCGTTTGGATCAATGATGGCGGAATGAACGTCGGCATCTTCAGAGTCCGACTCCGATTCCATCCCCACGACTCGGAGGCCGTCGGAGCTCCGGAACCCGTGCGATTCAGAAGAAAGCACGACCGCATCGAATTCACCCAACCCTAACTCGAAAGGGACATTCGCGCCATTGAATACACCTCCAAAAACCCTATCCACGTCATCCGACACGGGTCCATCTCGGGGCTGGAACAAGTCCGTGACGAAACTCACTTCTTCCTCATTGTTGTAGAAGAAGGGATTCGGGAACTGGAAGGAGGCCGACCCATCCGAATCGGACTTCTCGGACTCGGAGTCGGATAACGGATTCGGGGCGAAACTGAAATCGACAAATGGGGGATTATAAAATGCGGGATTGGGAGGCGAAATGTAGTCGTAATCGAAGATGTAGATGTTGGGCTCCTCCTCGTCGACGACGAAGGAAACTGCGTCAGCCGTGGGTTGTGGGCGGCAACGGCGGTGGAGACTCGAAACGTCCGCCATTGAAATGAACAGAGAGAGAGAGAGAAACAAAAAAATCTTAGCTTTGAAGTTTGCTGCTTTGATTATGAAGAAGAAGAAGAAGAAGAAGAAAAGGGGAGTTTTTGGATTTGCTTATACGTTTGTTGTTCAATTTCAATCTCATTTCTCGCCTCTCTTCACACGTTGTCAGATATTGGGTGGTTATTTTGACAGGTATTGTTACTTGATGGTGTAATAGAACCGGACCACACAACAAATTACTCCGTATTAACAAAAAAAATACTTATTTTTACAAAACATCATTATATCAAAATATATATATATATATATATATATATATATATATATATATATATATATATATATCACCTCATGGTTTTTACTTTTTAAAAAAAAAACTTAGACTATCAAAACTTGGATCCAATCCAAACCTTTCACACTTCAAGTCATGACATTTTAAGTCAGACGACGAACCAATTACGCTAAATTTCGGGGCATGTACTTCATGGTTTTTATTTATCTCGATGCATACTTGATGTATCATCATCATTAGAGTTAATTCCAGTAATGGTCCTCCGACTATTGTGATTTTCCAAAATTAATCCTTGTCTTTTAATTTGGACGAAATAGACCCTTGACTATCTGATTTGTTCCGGCCTGGGTCCTTCCGTTAAACATCCGTTTGTTAAGCGTTAGTGAAGGGCTGAAATGGTCATTTCTTGTGATTTCTTTCTTCTTCACTCAGCTTCCTTCCAGCCACCATCTGGTGGAATATCAAGGGACTGTGCTCTTGTTTGGTCGCGAAGAAAAACTAGCCGTTCTTGGAACACCGAGTGTGGCATTAACTGAAGATCTTGCAGGGGCAGTGGAAGTAGTGTTTTTGTTCCTCTGAGATGTTAATAGTAGCACCGAGAAAAGCTTCGGGGTATGGGCTACCGAGGGCGAGGGATTCATGATATATCGGCGGCGGCGACGTAGTTTAGGTGAGCATGGGGATGAAGCGGGGTGGCGTTGTGTGAGTGGTGGTCCAAAGATCCAGAGGCGGAGTCTTCTTCCCCTTCGGAATCGGAGATGAAGTGAAGGTGGGAGCCGGTGCTAGAGTGAGGAGAGGAAATTGCAACGGGTGGTTTGTGGGGAGAGGAAGCAGTAGGCTGTGGGTCTCCTCCTCCTTTACGGTGAGAAGGGAAAATGATAATCGGCGATGTTGTACTCATCCACGCAGTATTTCCCCAAATCTTGAACCTCCTGGTTGCCCTTCACCCCCTCAATCTCTGTACTACTCTCCTTCCCTCCACTTGCGTACTGCACACCATAGCCACCACCATCAGTCCATCACTACCGCCCATAAGGAAGTGGCTTACAAGGAAGGGTGGGGGGCTGATATATATATATATATATATATATATATATATATATATATATATATATATATATATTCTGAAACAAAAAGTAGCTAAGCTAGCATGATTGATCTTAATAATATAATATGATGTGATATAATGGGTCTGACACATTCATGCATGCATGGTTAGTGAAGATGTGATGAAAGGACACCTATATTATCGCGATGCAGAAGCCAGCGTTGGCAGCAGCTACAGAGTGCCGCGTCTTCTCAAATCTCATCCGTTCGTTACACATTGTCCAAATTCGCAACCTCATCAGTAGGCTAGTTGTTTTAAACAAAACAACCTCGGAGCAATAGCGATAAATCAGCCCGCGTTGTTACACCAATAAAATGCAAACTACTCAAGCTCCTTGCCATCTCAAGCTCAAGACACACGCATGGAGGTCTAGTTCAGAGTCCAATCATTCCAGAGGAAGCAGATAAAAGAATATGGTGATGGTGAAGTTGGACTATCAGATGAGCGTGCCCTTTCACTTCTTGTTGTGAGGAAGAACAGAGCAGGACAAAATAATGAACCTTTACATGTTGCTGCAATGCGCATACAAAACAAATTTCGCAGCTTGAAGGGACGAAAGGATTTTCTTCTAATTCGACAACAAATTATTAAAATTCAGGTGTGTTGTTTTACATTTTTATTCTTTTCCATTATATTTCATCATAATAATCTTCCAAACTCATCTCTGCTCCTGAATTTTTACATGTGTTGTTGCTCTTTCTTTCGCGTAAAAGGCACATGTAAGAGGACACCAGGTGAGGAAGAACTCTAGAAAGATAATCTGGTCATTGGAATCTTGGACTCTTGGAGAAGGTAATTTTGAGAAGGAGACGGAAAGGAAGTGGCTTGCGTGGGTTTAAGTCAGAAACACTTCATTTCGCTTTCCTCGCCAATTAAATCCAAATCCACCGGGCATGACCCCGAAGCCATGAATAAGAAGCCAGGAAGGACAAGGAGAGACATAGCTAAGGAAATTACGCTTGTACCCCTCTACTTAACGGTTGTCTAACACTATTTTCACGGAAGGATCAATGGTGGAACAAATCTGATAGTCAAGGGTCTATTTTGTTCAAATTAAAAGACGAGGACTAATTTTGGAAAATCATAATAGTCGGAGGACCATTGCTGGAATTAACTCTCATCATTATTATTATTATTATAAAACAAATACAAACAAACAAACAACAAAAAACTCGATAGTTCGGTGAGTTTCTTCCGCCCTTGGTTGGATCATTGGTGACACCATTCACATAAGGAAAACTGACACTACTTAATGTGCGAGGTGTGCTTTATTTTTACTACGAATTGAACTTGTAATTTTGTGATTACTAAGTCAACAGACTAGCAAATTACTTCGTTAGAACTGCTTCTAACATCTTGATTTTGTGATTTTTAATAAGTATTATTCTCATTTTAAAAAAAAAAAAAAAAAAAAAAAGTCTAGTAGCACATTGTTAGTATTCATGTGAACAGTATCATCCCAACATTTTTCTAGTTAGTCGTCTCCTGAACTCTGCGGTGGCTCGTGGCACGCGCTAAATCATTGAGGTAGACTTCTTCATTCTTGGGTGGACAAGTGCTAAGAGACACCCACTCGTTCTGTTGTCGGTTGCCCATGGTGGACTTCCCGACCGTCTTGTCCGGCCGACCTCGCCGGTAGGCGAACCCACGGATCAGCCCTTTGCATGAGCAACCACGTTCCCGTCATATCATGACACGTGTTTAGATCCCCTTTCACTCCGACCTGGCCCTATGCATGAGCAACCACATGCCCGTAATATAATGACACGTGTTTAGATTCCCTTTCGTCTTGACCTGGCCCTATGCATGAGCACTATGTGCCTGCCATGCCAAATGCTCGATCCCCTTTCGCCCCGACCTGACCCTATGTATGAGCATCACGTGCCCGCCATGCCGAATGTCCAGAACTTATCTCATTGTCCTCAACCTACTGAAACTCAATAAGTCAATATTTCTCCCACTAAATTAAATCTATAACCTCCCATTTAAAAAAGTCCCTTCATTCGTTCGACCATAAAATTTTTGTCCAATTAGTCAGGTTTAATTAGAAGTAAAAGGTTAAAACACAAAACCCTAACTGAACCTCGGCCTCATGTTCTATTTTACACTCACTCGCCGCCTGAGAGAGTGCGAAACTGCCGAGCGCCGGCTAGCGACTGCCGCAGTCCGCGCTACCCCAGCGGTCAGGCAGTGGCGCCTTCTCCTGCCTCACGCGATCACGCGCAACGCCGCTCCAGGCCCCGGCAGACACAGGTCGAAGACCCGCCAAGCATGAATTCAAAAATCCATGGCTTCCCACCTCTACATTACCAAGCTATTATTTTCCCCACCAAAGCTTTCGTTCAGTTACTTTGCATTACGGACTACAGTGCAACTCCGCGCAGTTACTACAGTTGCGGCCGCCCAAACTTTTCCCGCCTACAACCAAACATTTTGCCACAATTTCCGAGAATGTTCGAGAAGAAGGGCCCTATACGCTGGAAAACAAGCCCACGCTCTAATGGTCACTTCTGGTTTCGAACCCACCGTTTATGTTACCAATTGTTTGATTCAAATGTACATAAGATGCTCCGACTTCAACTATGCCGATAAAGTGTTTGATAGCATGCCTAAAACAGACATGGCTACGTGGAATGCGATGATTTCCCGGTATTTTGTGGTTGGTGATTTGGGGAATGCACAAATGGTGTTTGATTGTATGCCAGAGAGAGATGTCATTTCCTGGAATTCTATGATTTCAGGGTACTTGCAGAATGGGGACTGTCAAAAATCGGTTGAAGTTTTCAGGGAAATGGGGAGAGAGGGTATTGCCTTTGATAATGCCACTTTTGTTGTTATTCTGAAAACTTGCTCAGCTTTGGAAAATTATGGTTTGGGATTGCAGGTGCATGGTTTGGGAATTAAATTGGGATTAGTTATGGATGTGGTGACTGGAACTGCAATCTTGGATATGTATGCTAAGTGTAAAAGATTAGATGAGTCTGTGTATTTCTTCAGTGAAATGCCAGAAAAGAACACTGTTACTTGGAGTGCTTTGATTGCAGGTTATGTTCAAAACAACCAACTTGTTGATGGATTAGAGCTTTTCAAGAAGATGCAAAATGAAGGGGTTGGCGTTAGTCAGTCTGCTTATGCCAGTGTCTTTAGGTCTTGTGCAGGGTTGTCTAACTTAAGATTTGGTTCTCAATTACATGGTCATGCACTGAAGACCAATTTTGGATCTGATATCATTGTAGGAACTTCCACTCTGGACATGTATGCTAAATGCAACAAGTTGGTTGATGCTCGGATGGTATTCAACCTGTTGCCAATCCACAATGTGCAATCTTATAATGCACTGATTGTTGGGTATGCTCGGGGTAATGAAAGTTTTGAAGCTTTAAGGTTATTTCGGCTTTTGGTTAATTCTGGTCTTGGTTTTGATGAAGTAAGCCTATCTGGTGTGTTTAGTGCTTGTGCAGGGGTCAAAGGACATTTACTGGGAGTTCAGGTCCACGCATTAGCTATTAAGACCCCTTTTCACTCTAACGTTAGTGTAGCAAATGCCATTCTTGACATGTATGGAAAATGTGGAGGACCATTTGAAGCTCATCGTATGTTTGACGAGATGGAGGTGAGGGATGCTGTATCCTTTAATGCCATCATTGCTGCTTATGAGCAGAATGGGTTTACGGAGGAAACACTATTGCTCTTTATTTGGATGATTCGGTCAGGAATGGAACCTGATGAGTTCACTTATGGTAGTGTTATGAAAGTCTGTGCAGCACAACAGGCTCTGCACTATGGCATGGAGATTCATAGCAGAATTATAAAATCAGGCATGGGATTTGACCCATTCGTTGGAAGCTCTGTTGTAGATATGTACTGCAAGTGTGCTAAGCTAGAAGATGCGGAGGCCCTTCATGACAGATTGCAGGAACAAGGCACGGTTTCTTGGAATTCAATGATTTCTGGGTTCTCACTGCATGAAAAAAGCGAGGAAGCTCAAATAATCTTTTCTAAAATGTTGAGTGAGGGAATTCAGCCTGATAACTTCACGTATGCAACAGTTCTCGACATTTGTGCTAATATGGCAACCGTTGGGCTTGGAAAGCAGATCCATGCCCAAATTATCAAGCAAGAGTTGCTCTTGGATGAATACATTGTTAGCACCCTTGTTGACATGTACTCAAAGTGTGGAAACCTGCAGGACTCCAGGTTGATGTTTGAGAAAGCACCAAACAGAGATCTCGTGACTTGGAATGCCATAATTTGCGGATACGCCCAGCACGGTCTTGCAGAAGAGGCGTTGCAGATTTTTGGACACATGGAGCTCGTGGGCATCGCCCCAAATCATTCAACTTTTCTTTCTGTCCTCCGCGCCTGTGTGCACATGGGGCTTGTTGAGAAAGGCTTCCATTATTTCAATCTAATGCTAGAGAAATACGGGCTGGAGCCTCAAATAGAACATTTCTCATGCATGGTGGAGATACTAGGGAGGGCAGGCCAAGTAACCGACGCTCTGAGCCTTATTCAAGAGATGCCCTTTGAGCCCGATGATGTGATTTGGAGAACTCTTCTCAGCACCTGCAAAATGCATGGCAATGTCGAGGTGGCAGAAGTAGCTGCGAACTCTCTTTTGCAGCTGGACCCCGAGGACTCATCCACATACGTTCTTTTATCTAGCGTTTATGCCACTGCTGGAATGTGGAAACGTGTTGCAGAATTGAGGAAAGTGATGCGATTCGGGAGTCTCAAAAAGGAGCCGGGATGCAGCTGGATTGAGGTAAACTCTGAGGTACATATGTTTGTTGTTGGAGACAAAGCTCATCCTAGATGCACAGAGATATATATGGAACTAGAACTGCTCATCAGTGAAATGAAGTTGGCTGGATATGAACTGGATGGTGAATTTGCACCTACTACTTATATGGGCAAAGAAGATAGCCCACAAGAATTGTTTCTTGATTGAACGAACTATGGGAGCCAAAATTGCTTTTAAAATGTCACTCTCTTATTATTATACATTTATATGTACCCTGTTGACATTCATATTATTGGGCGTTTGCACAATTATAACACGTTTAAATGGGAGGTCACAGGTTTAGGGCATTGACTTTTTGTGCTTCGATAGGTAAGAAAGTTGTATGGATAGATACTTCATAATAACAGATTTGTGCTTCAACAGGTTCTACTACATAGTAACATTCGCACAATGATCTTGTTAGAAGTTAGAACCTCAAGCCTTAACTTGAAAGTCATTTAGCCAAACTATTGTTAGTGATGAAATAGAGAATAATTATTACTCCGTATTATTTTGTTTTTTTGGTAGAGGGGAGGGGCCGACGGCCCTAAGAGTTAATAAAATTAATAAAATCTTCCAAAAGCAACGTTTACCGCATCACAATCTGAATCATAAACTAGAATGATGTGTCTTGGGAAAGTGGATACGAAAAGTTGCTGCATGGGATTTTGGATACCAGAGGAGGAAAATCGACTTCTGGGAGTCCGACTTTGCTTTGCTTGAAATTCGGAATTTGAGAGTCTATATAGTACAACTTTTAAATTAAGAACTACAATAATTATACTTTTGATATATGTTAATTTGTGAGAAGAAGAAGAAGTATCAAACGTAGTATTTGGTCAATATCCAGTTAGAAAATATAATTTTTATTATATTTGTACACATATTAATTAATTAATTATAAGTAATTAATAAATATAATTAATTTATAATTTATCAAATTAGTACAAAGTTTTTAATTTACAAGAAATTTGAAGTCATTATTTTAAATGAAATCAGTATTGTGATTTTAATTAATAAATTAATTTAGATCGTTCATTAATAGATAATTTTTTTTTAGGATGTGGGAATTGAATTTAGAAACTTGATTATAAATTGGTACAAAATCTAGAGTTTTACTACATATTTTTCAAATTTATCTTTCAATAGTAAATAAAGATATAAATAAATATATGATATTTTTATCCTTTAGATCCTGTCAAAAATTTCTAAAATTTGTGAGAGGAAATAGGAAGGACTGAAAATGAGAGTACATATTTTTCAAAAATCTAGATAGATCAAGAATTCAAGATCATTGGATTTTCACTTTTACTCGCAGCAAAAAGGGAAAAAAAAAAAAAAAAAAATCATTATCCGTACGGATTTGGCCTTAAACACTAGATTCCTTCCGCTGAGATTTCGGGTGAAAAGAACAATAAAAAACATATATTTCTGAAATTTATTGCGGAGGATTTAGCTAATGCCGCCGGAGACCAATCCTTATGTGTCTTTGATTCATCAAGAAGATTAGAAGAAGAAAAGATGGTGATCATTTTTTGGGGGTCTGACTTTTGTGCTGCCCCGTTTTAGTCAATCCAGCCGTGCGGTATGAATGATCACAAATACTGTTGGTCTATAATTCAATTCATTTCAACCTTGCGTGTATTTGTCTCTCTTGTTCTCTGTATTTTATTCATTTTTTTATTCACTTATATATATATAATATATAATATATAATATATAATTTCCCCCACATGGGAATTGATTGAATGATTGGTCTATATATCTAGAGGATGTGGTTCTGATTCTTGATTCAATTTATTGATCTCAATACCCTACTTAAAGATTGAATCTTTCTTTTGTCTCTGTTATATTCTTCTTGTTTCCATTGCCTTTTTTTTGTGCAATCAATCGGTTTTCTTGTTCTGTATTCTGTTTCAGGTATGATTTGACTATGTTTTTGGAAATTCTGTCTTTTGTTTTATACCATGTTTCTGGTTTATGGGTTTGATTTTGGATCTTATTGTAGAATTGTTGATAGGAGTTGGGTGTTTGATATTGGATGAGCTAAATTGCCAAGTATATTCTGAATGTTTTAAATTTTAATATATATTTCAAATTGGAAAAGGAGAATCTGAATTAGTTGTTGTATGCATAGCTTTACAAGTATGGGTAGCAATACTTGAATTGTTGATATTACATAATAAAATTTCATAGATTGCATTGTTGATACCCTTTTCTCTTGCTTATAATTACTTTTTTTTTTTTTTTGGGCGGGTTTTCTTACAGAGTTACAGAGAAATTTATCGTAAGGAACATAAACACATAATAGCTTGAGGGTCTGGTATACTGTCCATAAAATATATATATATATATATATATATATATATATATATATATATATATATATATACATAGTTCTGAGAGAGACGCCCTTTTACCAAGAATGACAATAGATAACATTACACATGCAAAAGAAAAGAAGTCACGGAAGAGCAAGGAAGTTAAAGAGAGCTCACCGCTATTGCCTCAGAAGCACGAGGGTGATGCTGGATTTGATGAGTTCAATGGGGCGTCCTTTAGTGGAGCAGTGTTTAATTTGTCCACGACAATTGTTGGGGCTGGAATTATGGCCTTACCGGCAACTATGAAAGTGTTGGGCCTTTTTTTGGGGATCGCTATGATCATCATTATGGCATTCCTGACAGACGCTTCAATTGAGTATTTGATTAGATTTAGTAGGGCTGCCAAATCAACTTCTTATGGAGCTGTTATGGGGGATGCCTTTGGAAAGACTGGTAAAATATTGCTCCAAGTATGTATACTAGTCAACAACATTGGCGTGCTTATTGTGTACATGATCATCATAGGTAATAATAAGTTGTCGAGCACCTAATTTTTTGAAGTTACATTAATTTCTAACGAGTTTCTAATAGTTGTGCTTCTATTCGTGCTTTGAAAAGGTGATGTGCTTTCTGGAACAACCGAAGATGGAGTTCACCATAACGGTGTTTTGGAAGGGTGGTTCGGGGTGCACTGGTGTAGTGGAAGATTCTTTGTTCTTTTGGTCACTACCCTTGGCATCTTTGCACCATTGGCCTGCTTAAAGCGTATAGGTAAGTTCTTTTTTCTTTTAAATGTTGAAAGCCCTTTGAACTTGAAACCATTTTCTAAACGTCTTTACCTTTAAATGCTGTTTCTGGTAATATGACACTTCTTAGCAGTCAATTATGTTTTGTCTGAAATTCGTGTTATTTATCAACTCCAAACTGAATTGCATTTCTTAGTTGCTTTTCTATACAATAATTTCGTTTTGGTGTGTGTAATTGTGCTTAAATTCGGGTCCTGATTTAAGAATAAGAAAGCCGTTTCTTCCCACTTTTTCCTTTGAATTAATTGGATTTTAACAGTTCAAGCGGGATTGAATAATATAATTGACAAACAATAAAACGCTTTGAATTGTACATCAACCTGAAAGGAAGCACCGTTTGTCAAAAGCATATATTACAACAATGCTGCAAATTACGTTCTGTCTCTTTTGGTTTCCCCTCTGCATAACTATACTTAATATAGGATACCGAGAATTACTTAACAATTCTTTCCACTTTTTCTAATTGTTTTTTGTCGTTGCAGATTCATTAAAATTTACATCTGCCCTATCAGTTGCACTGGCTGTTGTATTCCTTGTTGTGACCGTTGGAATTACCTTATACAAGATAATTGATGGAACCGTTCTGATGCCCAGATTGCTTCCTGATGTTTATAACGCGTCATCATTTTTAGAACTCTTCACTGTAGTTCCCGTCCTTGTCACTGCATATATCTGCCACTATAACGGTATGCAATATTCTGATTATATGCTTACTTTTTTAGAGGGTCATGGTAAATAAATTAATTGAATTATAGATATCAAAGCTTGACATAGGGATCTATTATAATTTTATTCTATGCTATGCTGTCTGGATTCTTTCACCTGATTATTCTCCCCTTTAGCCTCTCAGAGTTTTCATTATGAAAGAGACACCCAAACCTTTTATCACTAAATGTTGTAACAAAATCTTGGTTTTCATGATTATATTCCCGTGGAAAAACAATAGTGGCACTCCTACAAATGATTCAAAGACCAACTTTACTGAATTTGCTTTCAAAAAAAAAAAAAAAAAAGAAAGATTTGTAAAATCATCTGGGAGGCCTTGATACCATGTTATTAATTAAGATTGGGCCATGGTCACTCAACTGGGCAATAATGCACATGGGTCAAACCACACTAAAAGATTGAATCCAACCAATTAGCTAGTCTATCTAACTCATGGCCTTATAAACCCATATGTTCTCTTTTATTTTATCAATATGGAACTCTTAACAGTTCCTAATTACAATTGCTTTTCCATTAGTGTTGGCAATTTGACAGTATTTCTTCAGAAAGGTTCTACTTTCTTGATAGACCCCAAAATTTTTGAAGACTTCGCTTTCTGAAGACGTGAATGCTTTGCAGTTCATACCATTGACAACGAACTTGAGGACAGTACACAGATTAAAGCTGTTGTTCGAGCTTCACTCACACTTTGCTCAAGTGTGTATGTCTTGACAAGCATCTTTGGATTCCTCCTATTTGGCGATGCAACTCTTGATGACGTGCTCGCAAACTTTGACGCCGATCTGGGAATCCCATTCGGTTCTGTTCTCAATGATATTGTTCGTGTTAGCTATGCTGCACACTTAATGCTGGTCTTTCCGATCGTCTTCTATCCCTTGCGACTGAACTTGGATGGTCTGGTCTTTCCATCTGCAAGGCCTTTAGAACAACACAATTTGAGGTTTGCGTCAATCAGCACTGGGCTTTTAGTTGTCATCTTCCTCGGCGCAAATTTCATCCCCAGCATTTGGGACGCTTTCCAATTCACGGGAGCAACAGCTGCTGTTTGCATTGGCTTCATATTCCCCGCTGCTGTTACTCTGAGGTAAACTCACTTCAAATTGAACACATCTCGCCCCACTTCTCCTTGCATATAGTTTGAGTTTAGAGGCTGTTTGGTTGGACGTAATTAAGTCATAGTTGAATTGTAATTCAGCACAACCCACAATTACGCCGTTTGGTTGGAGGGAATTGCAATTCCCTCCAAATGCTGAATTGTAATTCATACCCCCTCCCCTATGAATTACAATTCGGCGAATTGGATGGAGAAGAAAAAATAGGTTAATGACCATTTTACCCTCACGCTTCTTTTGTCCTATTAGTTGTCTTCTTTTATTATTATTATTACTTCCAAAAAAATCATCATCATTATTATTATTATTATTATTATTATTATTATTATTTCCAAAAATTATTATTATTATTATTATTATTATTATTATTTATTAGTATTAGTATTATTATTATTATTATTATTATTATTATTATTATTATTATTAGTACATAAGGGCATTTCAGTCATTGTATCACTTATTTCTTTTCAATTCCATGCCTTATTACTGCATACCAAACACTGTAATTTGAATTCCTACTTTATTCCCACCTTATTCTTTCCCCACCGAATTACAATTCCTTTCGCCCATAATTCCTTACTTCCAACCAAACACCCCCTTATTGTTTCTTTTTGCGTTCCAGGGACCGGTATGGCATAGCAACAAGAAAGGATAAGATCTTATCCACCTTTATGATCATCCTTGCTGTGTTCTCTAATGTGGTGGCTGTATACAGCGACGCCTATGCTTTGCTTAAGAAGAATGCGTCACTGCGAGCGTGATCGCTCTTTTTGTCACCTCCCATGAAACTGAATTTATCAGATACAAGCTCAAGTTGTGGTTTTTTGTTTCCAAAATTTGAAGAAAAATAAAGGGGGGAGGATATAGGGAGGGAGGGATTGCATGAAGTGTGATGTTTAGTGAGTTAATGGTATTTGATTTTTTCTTTTCGGGGGTATACTGCATTGGTATCTGCATCCACAGAGTCGAGTCTTCCAAGAACCGTACGTACACCTGGGGTTCAGAATCCCGACCTCGTGTTTAAACAACTCAAGTCGTTTCTATTCGAGTAAACGTCTTTCAATAAAGCTGATTATGCATTCTGCTCAGTGTTGTTTTGAGCAGCATAGTTCAAAATGTATGTAGGGTTGTATAGTGCTGTGTGGTACCTTTTATGATAGTTTGATTTCTGTCTGTAGAATGTATTGTGAGTAGTGCAAATTATGAATGGTCATGGCTTCTGTTTCAATGTAAACATGAATGTTAATAGCTTCTGTTTCAATGTATACATGTGTGCTTGATATGGGTTGTATTTACATTAGTTTCTTATAAGTTTGAGCCCTAAGCACCTCTTTCCATTCTGAAGATTACGTCTTTTTTTATCTTGAAGATTAGTGAAGGAGGTAAATCGTTGTCCTAGAAGAGATGGGTCATTGTTCTGGAAAAGGTTTATCATGGAATGTGCATGAATTAGTTAATCAATTGAGTTGTGCTTTGAGGGCTACTTTAATTTCCTGTTCAATTAGGACTTTTTAGTAGTTACTATGAACCTTTAGTCCTCCCTATCCTAGTGATGTGTGACAGTAAGCCACGTGAAGAAGATAAATCATGAGATGTGTTTAAAATCACGCGAAGAAGGTAACTAATTGAGCTGTGTCCCGATGGCTACTTTAGTTTTCTTTTCAATCAATCAATACTTTTTAATAACTATTATCAACTTTTAGTCTCCCTCCGATCTTAAAGACTGGTGGAAGATTGCCTTGGAGAGTTGGAGAAGGAAAATGACCAGTTAAATCGTACCCTAAAAGAACCAACATGGTTGGCATGGTGGTTCAGCACCTCGTCCCTTAAGCATGAGGTTGTGGTTCAATCCCCACCCATGTGAATGGAGCGAACCATTTGGTCAGTCTCCTACCGCTTCCTTAGTGTGCTGACCGTCCGTTAGGACGAAGGATTAGTCTTCCCGCTATCGGCTGGAGGGATACCTTTGGGCAACAAAAAAAAGTGCCCTAAAATGCTACTTTAATTTCCTTTTCAACCATTACTATCAACATTCTTTTTACCTGATTAAAAATATTTATATAAAAGAAAAAAAAAAAAAAAGCAATGTCCACGTGTAATCATCTGCCAGCACAATTTAGAAAAGCTTTGACATTAATTTAAACTAAATATAAATTACAGTCAATAGTTTTACAGACAGCTAAAGATAATTTTTTTTTTTTTTTTTTTGAAAACAAAAGATGATATAATTAACTACATCAAACACAGCTAAAATCCTAGAGAAATTTTCTATATATACACAAAAGAGAGCACCTTGTTTCTGAATATTGTGTACACTTTAAACAAAAAGTAACTGGAGGAAACAAAATTATAGGCCGGTTCAAGAATTTCCAGTGCTGGTTACAAAAGGAACCAATCTTCGGTAATCTCGCCTCCTCCCGAGGGGAGAGTTATCGAGCACCCTCCCGAGCATCAACCTTGTGTTCTTCAGCGCTATATCTCGAGGTGTTAGGCCAGATTCGGATGTGCTAGCTTGAGCAGAACCTGTCCCGGGGGCAGTTCCCATTGGGAACTGTAACGGGCCACTGCGAGCTTTGAAGGAAGTCTGAGGAGCGAGAATCTTTTCTTCGATCCCACCAAGCCCATTCTCGAATGTCCCTGGCTCGTGTGGATGGGACCCGGGGGGCATGGAGCTGCAGCTCTGCAAGAGGGCTTCCAGCACACTAAGTGCCTCCCAGCACAGAGTGCTCTCCACCAGCTGAGATACAATGGCGTACATGTGAGGACTCTGAGCAGCGTCCATTGGAGTAGGCTGAAGCAACGCCTTCAACATCAGGAGTATAACGCGCTGATATTCTGGCGGCCCTCTCTCGAGGAGCTTCAAAAGGTGGCCAAATGCTAGAGCCGAGTGTTTAGGGAACCATTCGTTGCATAGTAGTGGTGAGACGCAGTCTAGAAGGGTCAATGTGCTTCGGATCTCACCACGTGAATACGCGATGAAAACTGCAGCTAGCTCATCCAATGATTTTGCCCGACACCATCCCGCTATATTGGTTGCCACCGAGGATGCCTTTTGATGCTGCTGTTGGAATGGGGTTGCAGGTCCACCCACCGCATCCTGGCTGAGATGTAAGCAGAGCCAGGGAAGCAATCCGATTATGTGCATCAAGAGTCGTGTTTCTGCATCGCCAAAGATTGAATCACACGAAGGAACGGTGATGAGCGATAGAACTTCAATTGACACACCGTGACTGACAGTTGACATGAGTCCTTTAAGAACCAACGGTTGCACTCCTTCAAACACCGGGACCTTTTTGCTGTTTGGTGAGGGTGTAGAAGCATTCCTTGTTTCCAGGCGTTGAAAGTCAGAACTATCGCTAGCACTAGAATCAAGCTCATCTCGAGGCATGCTAGAAAGAAGCACATTTTCTGTAGTTGTATCCCGGAATGATAGGCGACCAACTATCCGAGAAAAGAGTTCCAGCACCTGACAGTAAACATGAACAAACTCTGTCTGCATCATAGCAACACAGCCCCAAAAAAGTTGGGGGTACAGTATCACCTTTTCTGGCTCCATATTCTCCACCATTACCTGTAATGTCAATACGATTTCCATAATGAAACCTAAAACAGCTGGTACTGGATTTCCCAAACACCGGTGAAGACAACGTAGCAGAGACACACATGCATCGTTTGTCACACGAGGCCGCAGTGCACGGTAAATCTGATGTGATCGGCAAGCAAGGTGTCTCGATGTGCACTCCATAGCCCATCTCAGTGCCTCGGCTCCCCACGTTTCACGCAAATCTCCTTGGAAGAAGATAGCATCTACCATGCTCTGAACAAGAGCAGACAAGAGCGCTGCACTTGGCAATTCTGTTCTTACGACAGTGGGGTCCTCGTTTTCCCACATCATGCTTCCCTGTTTTGACTGGACATATTTGATGAGGCTCACGACCTGCTGTTTGTTCTCACCGTCACTACTTTCAACATCGTACAACTCCAAGTGCCTACCCGCAAGGGAATAGAGAAGATTGACGAGTAGGTGTTGGCAATGCTCCAACACAATATCCTCTGAACTATCCATAGAGACAAATGTGACATGGAAGAGCAAAGGCAAATGTTCTCTGAAATCCTCATCATTTTCATAAGCAATTTCCGCAAGTAGAATTAATGCGATATCTGCATGAGTGAGAGAGTGTTGTTGATGCCCTTGCAAGGCTGACTGAAGTTCTTTTGCATTCACGCCAAGCATGCCAGTCGCAGAATGCAAACCATCTTCACCTGAGTTTGGTGTATCTATAAGGTAGTCACCACTGTCTCGAGAGACGTGGCGACTTCGTAGACTACCAGTTGAACTCCGGACCCCTATCAATGGCCCCGACATATTCACCAGAGCTGGAAGAAGTTGGCCAGACCGACCAGCACTTACAGGAACAATGTTCATTTCAGGTGGCATAGGGCTCAATGGTCCTGAAGCACTCCTGCCTCCTACTCCCGCTGTTCTCCAGCTCAAGCTTCCACTCGTGTTCCTGAGTGGCCCATCAAAAGATCCACGAACTAATAATGGCGACATGTGAGGCTGGCTGTCCACAACATTTGCAACTTGAGCTATAGATGGGCCCTGAGAAAATTCCAAGACAACTCCATTTCCATCCCCCTTATTTGCACTAGGCCTCAAAGGTTCAACAGTATCCTCAAGCATCCGCTGAGCCAATTGGTACACCAAGTGATCAATAGTTCGCTGAGGGCAAATACGAGCTAAATATAAACTAACCCGTTTTGCAACAGAGAAATATGTAGCAAATGCACCACTTATCTCGGCTGATGCATTTGAATCACAATCCTCAATTCCCTTGGTAATTAAGAAATCTAAAACTGGACTTATGTTCCTTGGTTTGCTAGCAATTGTGCTCCAAAGCTTTTCTATTTCATCTGGAAACTGATCGCCGCGTCGCCATGTCACATAATATAGGCTTTTCAGTAATCTTTCACTCCATCCAGAGTCCTTCAATTTCCAAAAATTAAGATTCTCTATCCATGGAGCCATGCAGGTTAGGACCTGATGCTGTGCAATCACATCTACAGCATCAAGCTGTCTTTGCATAATTTCTTCGCAAAGTAGTTGGCTCATTTCAGGATGATCTTTAGCAAGTTTGCAAGAGAGTTTGTATTGGAACTGCTGATATGAATCAGGGAGGTTTCCAACAACAGCAGCTCTATAATTTCCAGAACCCTCGATGCCATCCTCAGCCCACTCACGCACAGAAAGAGTTTCAAGCATTTGGAGGGCATCATCACGAATTTGTCTGGAAGGATCCACCACCTTGTACAGTATCAGGCTTAGTAGTCTCTGTATTTCACATTTTGGGATCTCTTGGCGCATATAGACTTCAGCCAACACACTGAAGTAGCCATCAGCAATTGCAGCATCAGAGTAGTAGCACTACGCAAAATAAGAATTCATATTACTCTTTCGAGGGTATTGCATCATTAATAGTTAAATATTGCAGCAACAAAGCCGTATATCTTGTAAATGGATACAGTTGTTTCAAACTTTATAGCATAATAACTATTTTGAACTTGTGAAATAGCTTAAATGATAGGATGGAGGGTATTCAGAGACAAAGCAGTAAACAAAACAGTTACCTGATCAATGCAAGCAGGAAACAGATCCAAATTTGTGATGAGAAGATTTTTTAATGCTTGTTTTGCAAGTGAAACCCGAAGGTGCCCTCCTCTGAGCCTGTCACGTCCATTTGCTCCTCGACCACCTTCCCCAGTGTATTTCGAATGAGATGGAGTTCTAGGATCAGCTGGTGAATAGCCAAATTGCACCCTTGGCGCAGGTTCAATGAATAGGCTATTAATCCAAGATATTACACGGCCGCTCATCTTTCTTGCATTATCATCAAAGCAAGGACCATACAGTAGTGAAGCCATTGCATTCATGGATTGCCACTGGATTGCTTCAACCTGCTCACTCAATTCTTTATCAAATGAAAGCTTGTCTATAGAATCTTTAGATCGAGAGTGTTGAGAGGACTTGTATCGCTCAACTTCACGTCGATAATCATTAACACTCTCCTGAGACCATGTACTGCCAGTGTCATCAGTCCAGGAGAGCAGAAGATCAAATAGTCTCTTTCTTGTTCTAATATCAAATTTCTCAGATTTTGACTCAACAAATTCAGGGGCCAGAGATCTCAATACAGAAGCAAGTGCATAACGAAGGGGCTGAATCTCCTGGAAGTTCTCAGGAGGTGCTGTTAATATTTGTCTAGTGGTTTCTTCAATAAACTTTAAGTAGTGCAGA